TGAATCTTTAAAAAGAAAAAGAATATTGAAACAGCTGAGAAAATAACAGTGATTTGTTCATTAATTCCTCAAACAGCTCAAACAAAAAAGACATTACATAGATCTCAGTAGTCAGCAAAATTTTCCTTATTTTCAGCTGTGGCTTATGGTTAATAGATCCCACAGAGAAAGTTAGGTACATCAGTCTACAGAGGCAAACAAAATGAAAATACCATGGTTGAGTTTCTGTACTGTCTGTCAGCATCAGGATCAACTTTGTACCTCAGCTTATATTCTCGGTATTAGTAGCAGTGTTGTCTGCCCACTTTTTTGAGTCTTAACCAGACAGAGAAAAATCCAGGGGTCCTTCCAGTCTTGCACATTTTGTACCTGCAGTACCACAGTGTTGAGCTAAGAGAAAGGGGTGTTCTCACTGAATTTTCCTTGAATCTTAAGATGAGGCCACTTTCAAAAAGCTCATTGCTGCACAAGCTGGAATTAATTGTGTGTTTTGGTTTCGTTATAGCAAGCTCTTGGGCTGTAAGCAGAAGATTATTGACTTGCTTCCAAAGATTGAAGTGGCTCTAAATAACATCAAAGAAGCTGATAACTCGGTGATGCAGATGCAGGGCAAAAGACAAAGGGAGATATGGCATTTGCTGAAAATTGCTTGCGTAAGTAGCTTCTGGATTTTTTGCACTTCCTTCCACTGTAAGAACCAGGGGACATCAAACGAAGCTGTAAAGAAAGAAACTCAAAACAAAAAAGAGGTGCTTCCATACAGTAGTTACAGTAGTTACTTTACTGTAGAGAAGGGAAGTTTGAGATGCTAAAAGTTCACATAGATTTAGAGGGACAGTAGACAGATTCATAGAAAAGAAGTCCAGTATAGGAATTCTTGATCCCAGAAAGTCCTTAAATGGCACATTGCTGGAGGCTGGAATGCAGTGCATGTAACATAGCATGACATGAGCTTCATTTTTATGTTCTCTGAGTATATTGCAGGATGTATACTGGGATAGGTAAACTTCTGTCTGCTCTTTTAAACCTATAATTATGTTAGTATTTCTGCAAAAGTGAAATGGGTGCTTTCTTAAATAGCATTGGGTGTTTGAAGAATACACTTGATTTTTACACATCATTTCTAGTGACAGCCCAAATTATCTTGATTTCCATGTGCCAATGTTTAAGATCAGCTTAGGAAACATATCACAGAAAACAAGTTTCTTCTTTCTAGACTCAGAGCTCTTCTCGTTCACTGGTAAGCTCCAGCCTAGAAGGGACAGCTTCAACTCCAGCAGCCACGTGGGTCCCCCAGGGCTCCTCAGAATATGCACCTCACCCTCTTTCATCTATGGCAGCTACTGGAGATGGGTAAGAGCAACAAGGAAAAGATGCTGCTGCAGAGAGAGGAGTCGGTATAACCACTGTGCACATACACTCTGAAATCATGTCTTCTGCTGATGATGTCACCAGTGCTCAGAGGTCCTGACCTATTTACACATCTTTACCACATCCCACGTGGTGGACTTTGGATATGCTACGAGAGGGCATTTTAGAATACTAGACTGCTTCTGAAGGCAACATTGTTCAGTTTCTGACTGGTGTTTTTTAATAATTTCCTTCTGTCCATACCACAGCTCTGCCCCAGGGCCGCAGCAAAAGGCAGACTTGGAGCCAAAATGCAGTTTCTTTTCATGCCCAAGCTCTGGTGCAGGTGGTAGATAATTCAGGCCATATTTAGTACTTCTCACAGCTTAAGTATTAAAAGTCTTAATTGAAATGGAGGTCTGAAGTTGGAGTCATGAGTAATCAATGTTTTATTTCATCCCTCCAAAACAGTTTCAGTACCTCATACGTTACTAAAACTCCAAAACCTCAGGAGTTTGGATAGCTCTTTCTTCACAAACCTCCATGCTCCAATCCTGAGCAAGTTCCATATACTGCTCTCAGGTAAAACTTGTGACCTCCATCAGTTAGCACTGTGCATTTAATTTCTTTCATATCTCAGTCTAGCTGAGACAAGAAAGTTGACAGGAGCTGAGGGTTTTGGTGCTTTTTTTTCCCTTTTCTCAGTTCATTAGTAATTGTAATTCCAGTCAGCCTAACAAGAAGAACACCCCTCAAAGACTGCTCAACACTCGGTGTTCAGCAGTGCAGGTATTGTGGAGCAGTAGCAGGGCTTACAAGCACAAACATTTCATTTATCAATCCATTTGGCCATCTCTTTCTTTTTGGGCCTGAAATATCTAAGTTCTGAAGATACACATTTTCTAAGCGTGCTTTCGCTGGAAGTCAGTTTTCTGAAACCTTTAGCTTCCTCCTTTCTATCTGCTGCTGCAGGGCATATTCTACCTCCTAGTGATACAGGTTGATCACACTTTTAATGGGTGCTTTCCTGAAGTGCTTTTGTGTGGCCTCAGAGATCCTCTTCGAAACCTGGCTTCGCTGTATGAGGCACTGTACAGAGAGCTGTAAGATGTAAGCATTATGGTGAATTGGCAGTGATTTCAGGCCCTTTGTACTCAGCTCATTCCCCATGTTCTCATAAGGCTGAATTTCAGAGTAATTTGTGTACTTCCTCTGTAGGGAAGGAGAACAAATGGAGGCTTGTAGGGTAAGGATCTGCTGGATGCTACCTTCAGGTGTGTTTTATGCCCTAAAAGGCAGCTTATAATTGCAGAGAATTGTTAGTTCTTGGTGTTTTACTTTTTTTCTTCAGTGCAGAAACTACTGATGTTAGTGTTAACTTTTTTTTATATTTGTCTTGTTATGCCTTCCCTACAGGGAAAACTTTGTTGACGTGATAGAGGAGAACCTGAATTATCTTGATCGCTTTACCAGTATGTTGCAGGAGGCCAGAGAAGAGCAGAACAGCTTGACGGTAAGCTTGTTGGTGTGTTTCTGAGGATCTGACTGTCACAGCCACAACAGAGTCCTCTGTGGGTATGGAGTACTCCTAAACCACTCCTTAATTATTTGTGATTCTGTGAATTGCTGTGGTTGGCATATGATGTCTGTCACCTCGCTGGGCACTGCTAACATGCTGGTCTTTGTGGAAAGCAGCTTGCATGGAGCCCTTTTCTGGTTATTAAATTAAGCTTTCATTATAGTGGAAGCAGGGCTTTAGAGAGTCCTAAGAAGGCTTTTTTCAGAAATTGTTAGAAATTGTTTTTTGAAATAGCAAGGCATGACAGAAATGTTGATGCAGTCTGAAACTCTGTTCCCAAGCTACTGATTGAGGCTGGTAAGTTACTGCTCAAATGGGCCGAGGAGGATGAAGAGCATCACAGAACACAAGGTTCCTTGAAAAGGTCCTCAGCTGATTTTAGGTCTGTTTCCTAGAAACACCAATACAGATATAATTAGGCAATCAGACTGACCTTTTTATAAAGGAGAAGAGTCAATACAGCTTCTGTCAGCTTGAGATTGCTTCAATTTATTTTGCAAATTATTGCAGTTCTGTAGGGAAGTCAAGGATCTTTGAGGAAGTGAGATCCACTGATATGCTCTGTCTTGGATTTTTTCAGAAGCTACTTACAGTGTCTCTTCAGGGTTAGCATTCATTCCTGTGGGATAAAAAGTTAAAACTGTTCATCTGTTGTAACTACTGAAAAAAGGAACAGAGGGTTGGAGAAATGAAGGTGGTTCATGAAATGGAGCTCTGAAAACTTTGAAAAATGTTAATTTCTAGACATTTTAATGTTCTGCTCTTTATGAATCATAGTAAACAGTGAACCAAGAGTTTACTGGAGTTGCTGAGGGTGAATTCAGTGAAAACTTAATAGCAAATGAAAATTCATTAGCAGAAGTTGCTATTGCTGAGAGGAGGAGGAAGCTCTCTGAATGGCTTCCTATCTGTTATTCTTACCTATTTTTCTGTCATCTCGTGCATCTCAGCCCATGGTGCAACATCTGACTCTGACATATTTTAACCCAGAAAGATTATTCTTTCTTGTGGAATCATGCTCTGCCCATCAATACTTGATTTGGTTACGCTTGATTCCTTTCCCATTCTCCTCATATCATGACACAGAAGTTAAACAACAGGAAACAACAGCAGAAAATGAGGTTTGTCCTCTTAAAATCACTCAGAACAACACAAGAGAAAGAAATCAATAAGGTCTTTTTTTCTCTGTTTTTGCATAAGCATGGCTGGGAGCCTTTTTTTTCTTATGTTTGTGTTTCTGTACTGCCTGTACAATCAATAGGGCCAGTAGAAGTAGGTTGTGTACAGACATACCATTCTCAGTGCAAGGCAGCCTGTGCCATGCCTGAGTGTTATAGTAAGTGTGGGGAGAGCAGTGCAATCACAGTAAGCCATGTCATGGAATGGTGAGGATGTGACAGGAGCTGAGGGTTTTCAGCTGTGATGGAATGATTATCTGGAGGATAGAGAGGTGCTAGATAGTGAATCTTTTGTCTCCACTTCTCAGAGTTTTTTCCTTGCTTCCTCTTTCAGAACTTCGACTGGAGCTGGCTGAAGTAGTCCCAGGAGCTGTGCTGCTTCCTGCCTGTGTGCAGACAGCTGGCCACAGCCCCCATCGCCTCTTGGTTTGGTCATACAGATTGCCCAGGCCGTGAGGCCAGCAGCAGATGTATGAAACTGGCACTAACTGTTTTACAGACCGTGGCCTCCTTGTGCCTTCAACACAGCGAGTGCTCTGCACGGCAGGGACGCGGCACGCCCTGCACGGCCCTGAGGAAGCGGCCACCCTCAGGGCAGCACCCTTGCCCAGGGCTGGGCCTACAGTTGTGGAGGGAACATGGGCCCTGCGAGGCCCCAGCGGGCTCCGCAGCAGAGAGCGAGGGGAGGCCGGGGCTGGCAGCCGCCGGGCCCGGCGGAGCGTTTGTAATGTACCGACGGGTGCGCGCGTGTATTTTAAGCAGATTTTATTGTTAATAAACGCGGTTCGTAGGCTGCGGCGGCCTTGCTCGGGGCGGGGCGGCGGTCGCGTGACGTCATCAGAGGGCGCCGCGCGGCGCTGGCTCCGCCGCCGCCCTGCGCTGGGCCTCTGCTGCACGTGGGCGCGCGGCGGGAGGGGCGGGGCGTCGCGGCCGTTGGGCCTGGTTTGCCGGGAGGGCGCGGCGTCTTTCGTCTCCGGGTTCTCCCGGGCCGCCCGGAGCCCGGCAGGACGGTCGTTGAGGCGGGCGTGGGCCTCCCGGGGCCGGCCCGCCAGGTGAGAGCCGGCGTGGGGGTGCGCGGGTTCCGAGGCGCGGTTCTGTGTCCGAAGGAGGGATTCGCGAGGCGGGTGCGGGTCAGGCCTGTGCGGCGCCGAGCTGGGAGGCGTGAGGACTGCGGTGCAAAGGCCGAGGGTTTTCCTCCCGCCCTCCCTCAGGAGTTTGTCTCACAGGTGCTGCGAGAATGACCATGGCCCAGGCCGGAGCGGTGGTGGCGGCCGCTACGGGAGTCCTCGTCTTCTTCCTGTATGCCTCCATCCACAGGGTTGAGGAGGGGCACCTGGCCGTGTACTACAGGTAGCGTTCCTACTGGAAGGCCTCCGCAGGTTTTTCTGACTGATGAGATTCGCAGCCCTCAGAGTGCCCTGGGAGGGGATTGCACCCTGCCGGTTTTTCCTCGGGGTTTTGCCCTGAGGTGGGCAGGGTGAGTTCTTTGTGCTTTCCTGCACCTATAAGGCACGGTTCTGTACAGAGCCCTTGCAGTCCTCGGTCTTTCTGATCCCTCAGCTGCTTTTCCTACCTCTGTACAGAGTAACTTATCTGCTTGTAATCGGGATCTAAAAGCATGAAGCCTGTACCCTGGGCCTGCCTACAGCCTTGTTATTCTCACCTGAGTGCTCTTGCCCTGCCCCAGGACAGCTGGGCACCTGCCTGGCCCAGTGGCACTGGGAGCTTGCAGCTGCCCTGGACAAACTCTGTAGAAAGAGAGAGGGTGGTTACTGGATGCTTCCTCTTCAAATTTTAATAAAGGAATGGAGAAATTCAGTCTCAGCCCTTCCAAGTTTTTTTCTGCCAGCCTTTCTGAATCTTTGGGTCACTTATGCCATTTAATCTCCTTTCTACACTTCATGTTCCCCATTTTGGCCCAATCCCTTTATGTTGCTTTTTTCCCGTAATTATGAGTGTGTTGAACAATGTGGGCCTTTGCAGGATGCTAAGCATTGGTTGCTCAGAGCTCTTCTCTGTCTCCAACTGACAACTAGCTGGTCTGACCACACAAGGGACTGCAGATTGTTGTCCTTCAAGTAAGGGGCTGTGCTGAATGCTCTATGGAAATTCAAACTGGCAGAATCACCAGCTGCTGGACTTTTCCATGGCTGCTGTCAACAGCTTAGAGGAAAAAATTCTGTGTTCTGTAGACTCTCTGCAGTGTTGCAGTGATGGAAGAATTTAGCTATGTCTGCTATCTCTAAAAGTTAATTTCTCAAAACTGTTAAGTCGCAACAGGCAAGTGTCTTCTTTAGAGTCAGCCATTTTATTACAGAAATTGTGCTGTTTATATTCTCAAGATAGATTGCTCCTTGGCACTGTGATGAATGAGGTTACAGGTCTGCAGTGACTCTGATGCAAGAAATATGGAGCAGGTGAATTGTGTAACTCACACTACCGTAGCTGTGACTCCTGGCATTTTTATTGTATTTTCCATTTGCTTGAATGTTTTCTTCATCTGTCTCTCTAGGGGTGGTGCGTTGTTGACTAGTCCAAGTGGACCAGGCTACCACATCATGTTGCCCTTCATCACCACGTTCAAATCTGTACAGGTCAGTGTCTGAACTGCTGCCCTGTGCAAAATGTCAGCATTTGTTGGGCCTTTGGGTGCTTTGCTGCATGAGAATCTGCACAGCTTCTTTTGGAGCAGGAGGTGCCTTGCTCTAAGATATGATCTGTTTGTGGCCAGATTCCCAGGAAAGCTGCAGGAAGTAAGAGTAGGGAAATGAGCACAGCTGCCATTGTCTCTCCCAGAAGGCAGTTAGGACAAAGTCCATTTCCTACTTGCACCTACAACTGGGGAGGCAGAGGATGCAGTTTGGTTCTTTGTGCCTCTGTTATGGTTGTGACTGAAAGCAGCACAGTCTGCTTGGAGAATGGTGCGTGTTTCTGAGCATTGGTTATCTTTTTATTTCAGACCACTCTGCAGACTGATGAAGTGAAAAATGTGCCTTGTGGAACAAGGTATGTTTTTTCATTGTATTTCTTCTGGTGATGAGTAGATGTGTTCTCTTGTATAGTCTGCATTAATTGTTTATAGTGCTGTGATGCAGAGGCTGAAAAGTAAAAGCATAAAATTAGTTCCAAGCATAAATGATTCACTCCACTTGGAAATCAAGCAGGAGGTATGGGATCAAGTGCTCTTGCTGGAATTGATGTTTGCATTTATGCTGATGACCTCCCAACTTTCCTTGTTTTCTTCCTTGCATTACTCTGGTCACCCACTGATCTTCTTTAGTCTGCCTTCTGCTTTGCATATATCTAGCCAGAAGCTTGTGGTGAATATGAATGCTGATTCCAGCAGTGGGCAAAAGTAAATGGTGAACAGAAGTCCTCCCTCCTGGTGGGAAATGACTTATTTAAACAGCAGCTCAAGAAATAAGTTTCCTGAAATTATTGTGGCATTTTCTGGAATCAGCATTTCACCTGACTTAGAGAGAGAATGTCACCCAATAAAGCAGCAGCCTACCAGAGGTGGCACTTGCCTGCTTCACAATTAAGTTGATTTTTACATTGTTGAAGCAAGCAAAGCAATAACAGAAGGAGAGAAAGCTGGGTTGTGTTGCAGGTCTTGTTCTGTTGATTCATTCATAAAGCAAAGGGATCACTGAATCTGCACCATCAGGATCAGCAAGAAGTGATTGTTTTTGTGTTTTCACTGCAAGGTACTTGCAATGCTTCTGTTTAGAAAAACAATAGAACACTATCAGTATGACTTGAATGGTGACACAGCAACCCTTTTGAAATTCAAAGTTGAACGCTGGTGATGACATTAATAAAGCAGGGTTAATTTTGATCTGTTTTGGCCCTTGTTAAAATGAGTTCTTAGAATTATTCCTATACAAATCATGAGAATCGATTGAGCTTAAATATTAACATAAAAATCTTGTGGTACCTAGCAGTCTTTAGTTTAGATCTAAAGCCTTTTTCAGGAGTGTTTATAATGCTGGTGTTCAGAGGTGTTATTTCTAGAACAGTTTTCTGCGTTTTCTTTAATGCCTTTAAATTTGTAGCATTTGGAATCAAAGTCTGAAGCTGTTCCATGTCAAAACTTTGAAAAAGATTTCAAAGATTTCTTTAATAAAATATTAGGAAAAAATCAGTAAAACAATATTTTATAAGTAATGAATTGATTCAAATCTGAAATTTCACTGTCCAGGTTCAAAGTCTATTACAAGATTAGGTCCTGAATGCTTAAAGTATTCTGATTGTGTACTGAACCATCAGACTGCAAAGGCTGATCTTTCTCTTCTGCTTTGTTCCTATTCTCCGTATTCTCATATTTAGGAAGTTTAAAATGGCTGTGTGGGTGTCCCATCCCCAATTTCTACCCTGCGTGTCCCACTCATATGTGACAGTGTCAAATGGATACGTTAAATACAGTTTTTAAAAAGCTTTGGCACCAGTTACATCTTTTTCATAAAACAGCTGTCAGCTCAAAGACTAAAACTATTTCATTACAGCAGGTACTATTTCATTAAGCCATGATGAAAATCAATTATGTGATTACCTCTAGTGTTTGAGGTTTCTGACCTTCTTTGGCAAGACAATGTATGCTCAATTCCTTGGAAAGTTCAGCACTTTCCTTGTGGCGTGTCTGCTGATCCTTGAAAACTGGTGATCAAGGAGACCTCATGAAACTAATTGTAGAAGAGCAAGGTATTCCAAAGAGCTGACATAAGAGATTCTTCACTGGCTATTGTGCAATACAGTAAGCAGATTGAAATTATTCTCTACCAATATTTCACAAGAAAACTAGGAAAGTAGCTTTCTTCTTACAAACTAATTGGAAAGACTCATGCTAAATTTTGCATGGGATTTACCATGTTAAAGAAAGGTAAATAGCCAGGATGCTAAGTGTTGATGTTGCCCTAGTATTAGATGTTTACTTGCAAAGTGTGGGTCTTGGGCTCCTGCTGAAGATCTCTGGCAGAAACACTAACACAGCACTAGAGGACTGCTGCTCTTGGACAGATCCCTGTAACTGGTCATATGGAAAAATGTACTTCACAGATCACAAGTGGATGTGTTAAATTAGTCACTGTGTCTCTAAACAGACTAGGTGTAAGAGTTCTGACATGCTGTTGTTACCCAGCCTGGTGTAACAGGCTTGGTAGTCTTTGTGGTCTAGCAATGAGCTTTGAAGGTTTGCTTTTTTTTTTTTTTTTAATAGCCTCTTCTACGGCACCATATTTCAGTTCTTCCTTTGTTTTCTCCTGGCCAGGCATTAGCCCAAATGCTGAGGCGTATGAGTCTTTCTAAAAAGTGCTGCTGAAATGCCTGCTGGTGTATGTCTGTCTTCTAGCATCCCCTGTATGTTTTCATTCTGTCATTAAAACTAGGGACAGTGCTGATGTGAGGATCTCAGGGTATGTTCTAGTCCTATGTATTCTAAGGTAGAGCTCAGAAATTCAAGTGTGAGAGAGGCTGTGGAAGCTGCAGTGGAGAGTCTTAATGACTGGAGATCTCCCTATGGGAGCTGTGCAGTGGGGCTCATTCAGCATTGTATCTGGCAAGAAGACTGCTTTTGTAAGCGGGGATGTTCAGAGTGGTAGTGAGCTGCTGAAATGGAAGGAGCTTTGTCTCAGCTGGCATTTAAGCTGTGTCAATACCAAAGTGAAGTGGCTAGATTATCATCTCAATTCAGCACACGGTGCTTTGCCAAAATAACTGCCCCAAAACTGTCCAGGACAGTTTTGCTTCTAATATTCCCATCAAATTGATAGACACAAAGGATCCCAGTATTAAGATGTGCGGCGTTGCTCTTGCAGGAGATTGTGGTGGAAGAAACCCTTGCTCTCTGCTTTACTTCCTTGTCAGGATATCTAGATGGTACAGGATGATATCTGAGTTTCCCTGTGCTATTGGATGTATCATAAGGTGACTGGAACAAGCAGTGGCATGAAAGCAGGTTCAGAAAATTCTGAAAAATGCTGTTGGAAGTAGCTTGGAATGAGAGTCATTTTCTCAAGTATAGAAGGACAGAGTACAGAATAAGTAAGGTGGAGAGAAAAAAGTACATTCCATGCCATTCATAGAAGCATCAAATGCCTTGAGTTGGAAGGGACACTAAGGATGATCAGGTTCCAACCCCCTGCCATGCGCAGGGTCACTAACTTCCAGGTCTGGCTACTAGGTAAGTTGCCCAGAGCCCCATTCAACCTGATTGAATGCCTCCAGGGGCAGAGCATCCACAGCCTCTCTGGACAGCCTGTTCCAGCACATCATCATTCTCTCTGTGAAGAACTTTCCCCTGATGTCTAATCTAAACCTTCTTTCCTTGTGCTTAAAACCATTCCCCTTTGTCCTGTCACTACCTGCCCAAGTAAAAAGTTGATTTCCCTCCTGTTCATAATCCCCTTCTAAAAACTGGAAGGTTGCTATGAGGTTACCACGCAGCCTTCTCTTCTCCAGGCTAAACGAGCCCAGCTTCCTCAGCCTGTATTGACAGGGGAGGTGCTCCAGCCCTCTGATCATCTTTGTGGCCCTCCTCTGGACCCTCTCCAACAGCTCCACATATTTCCTGTATTGGAGGCCCCACGCCTGACCTCAGTACTCTGGATGGGGCTTGTTGAGGGCAAAGTAGAAAAGGACGATCACCACCCTGTTCCTGCTGGCCACCCATCTTGTGATGGAGCCCAGGGTACCATTGGCCTTCTGAGCTGCAAGAGCACATGGCTCACAGTCAGTTTTTCATTCACCAGGATCCCCAGGTAGCAGGGCTACTCTCAAGGTGTTCTTCTCCCAGTCTGTATACATATCTGAGACTACTCTGACCCAAGTGCAGAACCTTGGTCTTTGCAGTGTTGAAGGTTCACACCTCTTTAGTTTGTCAAGGTCCCTCTGGATGGCATTCCTTCCTTCTAGTTTGTCAACCGCACCATTCAACTTGGTGTCATCTGCAAACTTGCTAAGGGTGCACTTGAGCCCATCGTTGATGAAAATGTTGAAGAGCACCAGTCCCAAGACAGACCCATGCAGGACACTGCTCGCCACTGCCCTCCACCTTGATGTAGTACCGTTCACCACAACCCTCTGTCTGTGGCCTTCAAACCAGTTTCTTATCCACCAAATAGTCCACCCCTCAAAACCTTATCTCTCCAATTTAGAGATAAGATTGTGGTGGGGGACCATGTCAAAGACCTTGCACAAGTCCAGGTAGATGACATTGATCGCTTTCCCTCTGTTCACTGATGCCATCATTCCATCATAGAGATCCACCACGTTGGTCAGGCACAACCTTCTCTTGTTAAAACCACACTGGCTGTCTTGGATCACCTGTTCATCCCTTATGTGCTTTAACATGCCTTCTAGGAGGATCTGTTCCATTATCTTCCTAGGCACAAAGCTGAGGCTCACCAACCACCCCACACTTTGGCAGGCCCACGCTCCTTGAAATCACAAACTCAACCAGGACATAGTCGCTGCAGCCTAGGCTGCCTCAAGTCTTAATGCCTTTAATGATCTCCTCTGCACTGGTGAGCACCAGATCCAGCAGCACTTCATCTCTGGTCACGCTATCCAGTACTTGAGCCAGAAAGTTACCATCACGGACTCCGGGAATCTCCTGTATCTCTTGCAGCTCACCACGTGGTTTGCCCAGCAGATATCTGGGTGGTTGAAATCTCCCATCAGGATGAGTGCCTGTGGGCATTATGTCTTCTGCAATGAAGGAAGAAGGCATCATCTGCAGGCTCTCCTTGACCGAGTGGACTACATTAGCTCTTCATTAGTCCCATCTCTCACTCTAACCCACAGGCTCTCAACCAGCTCCTCACTATTTCTCAGAGGGAACTCTTCACAGAATATCCACTCTTTAACATGGTAGGCAACTCTCCCACCCTTCCTACCTAGCCCATCCCTTCTAAAAAGGCAATACCACTTTACAGTGGTATTCCATCTATGGGAGTCATCCCACCATGTTTTCACAATAGCAACTGGATTGTAGTTTTCCTATTACAGAGGCTGCCCTGCTGCTTGCAGCGGGTGTTATCTGCTGGCCTCGTTGTCTCGCCTTCATTTTGCTGACTCCAACTTTTGATAACTGTGACTGCATTCCTGTCTGAAGATGTTTCCCTTTTGTTGGCTGAGTAGGAGGTAACGAAGTTAAGTGAAAGTTGCTTTACAGGCTTGCTAGAAGAGGCTTTTGGTTTCTTCAGAGAAGAACCAGTCTGTACAGAAACAGAGTTCACTGACATCTGATTGCGAAATGCTCGAAAGGTTAGAATTGTTCTGGGTAAAAATTAACTGCAAGTTTCTAACAATTTACTAAAAGAATAAAAAGGACAACTTGGCTTTAAATGCAGACCAGTATTAGCAATTTCAGCAATAATCTGTTAACTCTCTTTTCTTGTTTCCAGTGGCGGTGTTATGATCTATATCGACCGAATAGAAGTTGTGAACAAATTGGCACCGTATGCAGGTATATCCAGTTCTGTCTCAACAAGCAGCACTGTGGCTGCCTTTACCCTCGGGCAGCTATGTCTTGGTTTGCAACACCTTCCATTCCTGTGGCCTGTTGCCTTTATGGTTCCCAGTACTTAAGATTCATGCCTGTGCCTGTAAGCCTTTGAAAGAACCACAGATTTGCTGAGATGAAATCAAGTTCTAGGACTGCTTCTCCCCTAAAGGATTTGACATGTTAGGCTGCTTGTGGCAAGTGCTCAGGCAGTCCTCTTTCTTGGAGTTGAAGGGAGGCAGACCTGTGAAACTCAGTACATATGGCAGAGCCCTCAGGTGCTTGCCTACTCAGCTGATGGGAAAGTTACAAAGGTAAGGCCCATGTAGGAGCCTCTTACGTTTTTATTTCATCAGCTGCCAAACCAAAGATGTAGACAGCTTTTCTTTTTTTTCAGTAGCATAGCTTAATGCAAAACCCTTGTTACTGATGCATTGTTTGTGTTGTAATCATTGTTCATGTTGTAAAGTGGATATGATGCGTTTTTGTTGTTTTTTTTTTAACTTCGTATAGCATCTGATCCTACACATGTAAGTTCTGAATAGGTTTTACTGTTCCATTTGGTTAGGCAGATCGTAGATAAGGAGCATGCAGTATGTCTTAATATAGTGACTGAGCTCTTTGAAGTAATGTAACGCAGCAGCACTGGTGGAAAGGATCTCTCTACAGGTTTCTCCTTTGACATCTGCTCACAGCAGGCGTGTTGCTAACAGTTGTCAGGGCAGCTGGGACTCTGTCCATCCAAGTCCTGAAATGTGCCAAGAATGGAGATCACTCACCTCTCTGGTGCCTTGTCCTAGTGCTGCACTGCTTTCCCATTGTCACAAGCTGTCACTTTGAGGCAGAGACACTGCAGAAAGCAGTTCATGTCAGCAGAGGATCACTGGCTGCATTGCTGTTATAATAGTTCTCTTATTTCCTCAGTGTATGATATTGTAAGAAATTACACTGCGGACTATGACAAGACCTTGATCTTCAATAAAATTCATCATGAGTTGAATCAGTTCTGCAGTGCACATACTCTCCAGGAGGTTTACATCGAGCTGTTTGGTAAGTGGATGACAGCTACACACACCCACTGAGGTCTGTGTAGTCTTCCTGTTCTGTGAAACATGTTACAGCAGTCTCCTGTGAGCAAGCAGCTTCTGTATTGAAGTTGCAGTCTAGAAAGCAGCTCCTTAAATATTTGTGTGCTGCTTCTCTTGGAATTTTACTCTCTAATGATTCAGAATACTCATGTGGAGATTTGATTCCAGTTCTTTTCTGCTCCGGACTGAATTCTGGACATACAGAGTGTGTTCTCTGCTGTTGTGCATGGAGTCATGCTTGTTGCCTTCACTGTGATGGGTCTTGTTCTTTTCGATTAGTTCTGTAGCTGAATTAATTTCTTTGCTTTAAAAGTTTCTTTCTGACTGTTAGAAGCAAGGGGCTGGAAGGGAGATGCTTGCAGTTCATTGCACTGCCTTAATTTCTTCACTAGGGGGTATCATCCATTCAGGAGTTAGCAAATTTGACGTTCTGCTCCTTGGAGTGGGTGCATACCTGTGTCTCCAGAGGTGTAACATCATCTTGTTCCTTCTTGATTGTCAGAGCAGGAGAAAGTAGATTTATTGTTTCGGAAGGTAAAAAGCTATCAGACTTCTAATGTTAGGAAGAGTAAATCTTTGAATGCTGTACTCAGACTTACAAAACATAAATAGTCAGAGAGGTGTTTCTTGGTAATGCATGCAATTTAATCCCTTCATAACAGTGTATTCCAGTGGAAAGACCTTCCTGGAGCTTGGGAGTAACAAAATACGTTTTTTCAGTAGCAAGTATTGGATTCTGTAGGTCCTTTGAGAGCTAAGGCAGAGCTCACTGCAGTCAATGGGATTGACATGGCTCTGGTAGGGAAAGACAAGCTTCTGCATATGTTTCCTTGCTGAAACAGTGAGATCCATATGCCCTCAGCTCTGATGCCATGTGTCAGTAGTTGAACTTTTCCAGAGGCACTATCGTGTGGTTCTTATGGCTCTATCCTTGGGAATATTTTCCAGGGGGTATAAAAAGGAAAACAATGTACAGAATGATTTCAAAAATTCTTTTTTTCTTACACCATGGAGATGTCTCCTCAAAGCTAGCTGAATTGCTGTCACACAATGTATAGGAGAAATGGTGACAAAAGCTAAGTGATCTCTCTTGTCCTCCACAGATCAGATAGATGAGAATCTGAAGTTGGCCCTGCAAAAAGATCTCAATGTCATGGCACCAGGTCTTACCATCCAGGTAGGTTTATTGTTCGATAAAAGATTTTTCTTTTTTCACCTCTAATTCATTCACCTTCCAGTGGATCAATGAGATTTCTTGCTTCTGTTTTCCACTTATGGTGAAATAGTTGTGCCTTGAAGTGAGGTTTGTCAGCTGAAAACTGCCCATGTGAAAGTTACCACTTCTAAATGCTGTTTTTATGTTGAGAGAGATGTACAGGGTAGAGAAATGACCTTTTAGGCCATAGGTGTGCAGGGATTGAGTTTAATCCACAAAGAGCAAGAAAATGTTTTTTTTTCTAACTACATTTGGCACCCCTGTATAGCTCCAGTGTGCCAGAATAGTTTCTACAAGTATTGAAGAAGAAAAGAGATGTCTGGCTGCATGTGGGGAGAGAAGAGCTCTCCTTTGACAGCACATGAAGTGCTACAGTAAATACTGTATTCCTCTTCATGGCCTGCTCTGTTTTGACAAGAGTCAACTACAGGTAGTATCTTCCAAAAAAAAAAAAAAAAAAAAAAATGTGGCTCTGCTCTTCCCAATACTCAAGTTAATTTGCACTGTACTTTGCACACAAGTTTCTAGTGAATGAGCATCATCAGTCAAAATTATCTTTGTAACATAAAAGGTCTTTCTGATCTCAGGGTGAAAGAAAAGCTCTCTGCTCTTTGCTAGGAAATGCTAATGACAGAGCTAAATCTGATCTGTGACATAAGCTGTCCTTTCTCAATGTGCCATGCCCAATCTTTGCAGTTGGTCAGAAGATTAAGGATATTCTGCCTGCTTCAGCCCTGTCTTAGTTCACAGGACCAGCAGTTTGAAGATACCCCATAACTTGTGAGGGAAGTGATTCATCTCTAGTCCTTAAGAGATGGTGTGATCTTCTCTTCCTGTGTATACTGCTTCATTTCAAATCAGAGCTGTGCCCTCATCTCTAGTAAAATTGCAGTTTGTTAATAGCTCTTACTCTGTGTTCCCCTCATTGCACCCAATATCCTGAGACAGCCTCATCAGCCCCAGGATAGATGAGAACATATGTTGGCTTCACCCTGCTGCTGAGCTGTTGCCAGAGCAGCCCCAGGGTGGGGGCTGGGCTTCATTGCCAAGAGAGTAGAAGTGCCATTACAACACCAGCTTGCCTTCAGAGCCAGTCCTTCATGATCCTTTTTTGCAAAGCTCTTGCTTAGCCTCTTAGTCTCAACCTGTACCAGTGCCTTAATATTTGAATATTAACCATATTGATGATACAGAGTAATGCTTTTGTGCAGTAGATACAAGCAGATTTTACCTTCAAGTAGATAAAGTCTAAGCTAGAGTAAATTTTCCAAGATCAGAGTGTTCTGTCAGACTACAGAGGAATCTTTGTCCATGTTTGAAAAGCCACACTTCTAGAGACTGATCTTTGATTTGGTGGTATTATGGAGATGGAAAGAATATATCCCTGTGCACCCTGCTGTGACTGGGAATTGCTTTGAGGTGAACTTTCTGCATGTAGAACCTCACCAGGGGCTTGGACAGGCTTTTTTCCTGGCAGGAGCTTAGAAAACCCTTTCATTGAAAGACTGATTCTGATTTTATGTCTCAGAAATCCACTTGTTCTTCTTGTTCAGAGGAGCAGTAGTTGTTCCAAAGTGTCCTGCTCTGATGCCAGGCTGACTCTTCTTTCTAGGCATGGTGTCAGCCGATTTACTGCCACGGACTGTCTTAACCCACATCTCCCAGAATTTAGTCATCAGGCAGGTGATGCACACAGGCTGGTGATCAGCATTGCCATGCAAATCACTCTTGGTGATCAGCAGCTGCATGCAACAGTTGCGTCCAGGTGCCACATATGCCCTGCTGCTCTTCTATGTCTTTGCTGTAGTTTCTTGTTGCCTGGTAGCTTTTGCAAGCTTTTCTCCTAGAAAAGTATGGTTTGTAACTTTGCCTCTGTTAGTAGTTCTTACTCCTGCCATTTAATTTATTTGGGTTGGTGAGCTTCTTTCTTGAGCATTACTTTGGAATCCATTGTCTGGTGTTGCTTAAGGAGCCATTCCACTTTTGGACTGAAGAACTAAGCTTCTAACAAAGCTGATGAACTTCTTCAGTAGTCTTCTGCAGCCCCTGCTTGATCACTTTTTTTTCTTAAAAACTCAAGTGATAGGAAATACAAATGTAAAGTGACTGTTGCTCTGCTGTGTGGCACAAGAGGATTGGAAACTGGTATGTGTGGTCTTGGATTAATATGAAGATGTCTTCATGAAACCGGACATTTCTTAGCTATGCAGGTTTCATCTAAAATGAACACACTTTTTTTTTTTATAGGCTGTGCGTGTTACAAAACCTAAAATCCCTGAAGCCATCCGAAGGAATTTTGAGCTAATGTGAGTAGCAGCACCTAAAACTTACAAATTCGTTCTGAGGGTTCAGCATGAGCATAATACTGTTAGAAGACTCTTATCTTTTGCTCAGATGGTGAGAAGTGTACTCTGCTCATGCTCATGCTTGTGCATGAGGTACATTTCCTTCAATCCACTGGCTTAAACAGGACCAGTTGTCACTGCTGCAAGGGAATGCTGCTAACATCTGGCAGCATCTTTTCCCCCAGTCTTCCTGTACCCTTGTTTGCAGAACTTTTATCCAGCTCTGTTTTCATGAGATTGTTTCTTGTCCTGCAGGGAGGCTGAGAAGACTAAGCTCCTCATTGCAGCCCAGAAGCAGAAGGTAGTAGAGAAGGAGGCAGAGACAGACCGGAAGAAAGCGCTCATTGGTATGTCAGCATACTTGGGCTAGAGACAGTTTCCATTCTTGCATCCCATGGGGAAACCAATTACAGGACAGTGTCTTGATGAAAGCTGTGCCAACAGTCAGTGGGAGATGTAGAAAACAGAAGTTTTGATGCTGCTGTCTTCCTTCCAAGGCTGCAGAGCAGTGTCATTGTCCTACAGTAGGGCTGCTTTAGAGAAGGTCAAGAGTTAACATCTCTGCCAGCAAAACTGGGCTTTAAGCTAAATGCCCTTAAGTAGGAGGAATCACATTTGTAAAAGGAATATCGACCAGTTATGCTCTAGAAGCACCAGGACTGCTTGCTTTCTTAGAGCACAAGCTGGCACTAAGCTGTACAGGACCATAGGATCTGAGCAGAAAGGAAGGCAGCAGAAGCAAATCACTTCTATGTTTGTGACAAAGGGCTGGGGTCAGATTGCTGATTTCTCAGGGCTTGCAGAACATGTGTCTGAGCTGAGCCTGTTGTGATTGCAGAGGCGGAGAAGGCTGCCCAGGTGGCCAGGATTCACTATCAACAGAAGATTATGGAGAAGGAAACAGAGAAGCGAATTTCTGAGATTGAAGGTAACTGTGGTGCTAGTGTGCTGCTGTGGTTATTTTTCAGCTAAGAGTGGTGGCAGGTAGAGAAACCTCAGAACCAAACTCATACAAAAATAACAGAGGCCACAGTAGCACGAGATTACCTCTCCAGGGGGCCACAAGTGCAGGTCCCTGCCCAGCCAGGCTGTGTTACAAGCACACCAAGGCCAGCTTGTCCCCATGTGACAGGCTTACATGCTCACTGTGTTATGCTCATTCACTTGCTGATGCTTCTTTTCCTGTATTAGATGCTGCATTCCTAGCAAGAGAGAAGGCAAAAGCAGATGCAGAGTACTACACTGCTCAGAAGTTGGCTGACTCCAACAAGGTGAGCACTTCAAAGCTGGTCAGAAGGTGACTTGCTTAATCTTTTCCACTGCACCGGAGGCAAGCAGGCATGTGAACAGCACTGAGAAAACACTTAATTGAGCAGCCCACATCTCAATTCCTAAGAAGTGGCTGCCTGAGTTGAAATCTTGGCAATGCAGAAACTTGTCTCTTAAGTCTCTGTTTTCTTCTTTTCTAGCTGAAACTTACCCCAGAGTATCTGGAACTCATGAAATACCAGGCAATAGCTGCAAACAGCAAGTTGTATTTTGGCGACAGCATCCCCGGTGTGTTTCTGGATTCTTGTGCCTTCCAGCAAGCTGATCTGAGGACTACCAGAAAAACCAACCTTCCTCCTCAGGAAATCCAGGAGAGCCCTGCAGACAGCCACTTCAAAACAAAGGGAAATACTGGCTGACAGAGGTGGAACAGAACCCATTGTAGCTCAACAGCTCTCCCAGCTGTGAATGGGGATGTTGCCCTGTGTTTGATGGGGCAGATGCAGCATGTGCGTGGGCATCCTGTCTATAGTTGGCAGTTGGGTTGATTTTTCTTCTAGCAATGAATTGCAAGTACTCTGCCTCTCTTGTTTCTTCCCTATAAAATTGGTGCTTCCAAATGAGGGAATATCCTGTACTAACAAACTTATACTGGAATATTAAAGGACAGATACCAGGAAAGCCTTCCACAGCAGGTGCAGTTATTTAGCAAGCGTTATCTTTGAGGTAGGAGATGTGGCTTTTGAGTGCTGTATGGCTGCACGCTATTTCCCACTGCTCCTTGCTGAGGCCAAGGAAAGAATTTGCCTTCATCTTGCTTGATACAGCTTCACTTTGTCGACTCCATGCTTCCATCAACATGATGTAATTCTCTTCAAGGATTCTGTGTTGATCAGCAGAGGCTCCTGATTCTCCTCTGGAAGAGACCCAGCAAGGAGTTTGGTGTGGAATAGATGATTTAAATAGGATCTGCATAGCCATAACCTTTTCCGTTCCTGTAGGCAGTGAAACTAGATAATGGCTCAGAGAAAGAAGTCTCAGACAGGTTTCTGTAACACACCTCCTCCAATCTAGAGCCCTATGCTGGGTGTCCATGGCTGGCTGCAGCATGCTTTGCCTGGATGACTGGGTCTTGCATTGCACTGTAAGCCAGAATTCAGAGTGCACTGGAAAACTTCGGCTGCTTGGGAAGAGTGGGTCCAGCACTGTGAAATCTGTGCTCAGACTGCAGCATCCCTCTGGGTCTTTTCACCATGGAAAGAGTGCTGAATTTCCACTGCTTTGCCCTGCTGTGAAGTGAGGAGAGAAGGAAGAGCAACGAGAGATGCAAGACATCCTTGGGCCAGAGGGCAGGAGTCTTTGTGTTACGCTGCTCCTCAAACATTCTGTTAAGGATCACAGTGAGGCAGAGAATCAGTGCCTGATGTAGCCTGCCCAAGCCCAGTGCTGCCACATGCTTGCCATCCCACTTTGCAGTTTCTTCTGCTCTGCTGCAGATCATGTTTGATTCCTCAGCTGCAAAGCCAGGGAGACATCACATTTCCCAGTGATGCAGCAAAGGTGAATTTGTTCCTATAATCTGCTCTTCTATTCCATGTTCTGCCCATTTTTTCTGGGGTCTGTTTCTTGTGTTCTGTGACAATCTCAGAAGATGTTGATGAGGACCTGAGCCAGAAAACCACGTCCCAGCTTGCATTGCTGCCCAATCGCTGTGTGCACATCAGTCCTATTTTCCCTATCCTGCATGGCATGTTTGACTTAAAGGTCTGCAGTGTCTCTCCTTGACAAAGTTCAGTAACGTACAGTGCCTTACACTTTCTCAACTCCTGCCTGACTGCCTCTCTTTCATCTCTGGGGGAGAGCAGGGATGTTTTGACCTTTTCCTTCCTCCAGCTGTCTACAGACTCCCAGTATCCAGATGGTAGCATGTTTTGTAGCTGTGGTGATTGAAATGTCTCCTGGAAATACTCCTGGATTTACAGGATCCCCTTTTTCCTGTGGGAAGGACTGTGAGGAGCCAGTGGAGCCACATCCCTGACCAGCTAGCTCCTTGCTGTTTCTGATTTGCAGCACTGACTTTACAGCAGAAGGGCAGCTTCTCCTTGTTGCAGCAGCAGCCATTTGGGTTGACTTTTAAATACAAGCTTTTTGAGATCAGAAGTATTTGATGGTGTTACAGACTTGCCTACAGCTCTGCCACATGCTGACATCAGACCACAAGTGGGTTATGCCAACCTGGAATTGCCAAGGAGCAGAAGCAGCAAGGAATCTTGAGAAGCAATACTAAGTCATAACGACCCCATGCGGGGAGAAGGGAAGCTGGTGCAGAAAGTGGTGAGCCTTGGCCCTAGGCAGCATTGTCAACCCATCTCCTGCCACTGCCCAGATGGAGACTGTCAGCTTGGCTAAATGTCATCCTGTGTTCAGAAGTCCTGCAGCAATGTTTGCGTAGGGCTTAGTGCTGTGTGCAGGAACCTCTCCTATTCTCATCTGCTTGCTGTGTTGTCAGTCCTAGCATCCTGAGCAGGTGTGAGGAGTGCAGCTAGTAGACAGGGCCTTGGCTCCTGGTCAGTGCTACGAGACAGAGGGAACGTGGGTTTGAACTTGTTTTGCTCCTTTCTCCTTGCGTGCTCTTCTGTCTAAGAGGGGTTCGCTACTGGATCAGCAGCACCTTCTTAAAGGAAACATGATACATATGTTCAAGTTTACATGCACAGTGTTCTTTTGATAAAAACAAAATAAAACTATTTTGGTACCATTTCCTTGGTGGCTTTATGTGTCTTATGGCTGGTGTTGCTGCCTCTAGTTGTGTATCTACCCATTCTGCTCTCAGCGGACTCAGTTATACAGCACGAGCATTTTTCCCCATCGTCCTCATACCCATGCTTACTCACCAAGTAGAATTGGCCACGTGGGTTGTCACATACTGCCCCAGTGCTCCCTCCTGCTCTCAGCTTTATGACACAACACACTGAGCCACTGCTATCTTCAGTCTTTATTTGTATAAAAGTATCTGACCTACATTAGATAAAAAGTGAGGAGGACCAGTTCCACAGCGAAGGGCTCAAAACAGTCACACAACTGCTGGCTGTAGTAAAATGCTCCTGGAAAGTCATGTTTCAGGAGAGCAGGAGCCTGAGTGATAACTTCAGAGTGAAGAACCAGATGAGGAGGACTGCTGCTGTGAAGCCAGGCCTAACTTGATGCAGGGTAGCACAGCATCCTTGTGCCACCCTGGTGTGCTTGGAGCCAGGAGCTCCCTGCTGCAGCCCCAGCAGGGACAGGGTGTGAGGAGCAGGCCATCTTCACTGTAGCAGGGCACAGGGCACCCAGTAAAGGCTCGAGGCTGGCTTCCAAATCAGAGCAGGCATCAGGAGGGACTTGGAGAGTGGGGCAAAGAGGAAAGAAGGAAACATCACTTTGGGGGTTTCCTATGGGGAAGAGTGGTTTTGGTAGTGTCCCTGCACCTGGTCCCCTAGCTCATGGCTGTCTAGGCAACCCATAAAGCTACCAAGTCCATTAAGGCACAAAAATATCTGTAAACATGGGTGCTGTCCAGGGTGTCCGGTGAGCAATTCAAGTACCGGTGGCTCTGTGGTCCCCTGCCATCCTGCTGAAGTGCCAGGACCCACAGCTCTGCTGTCCTACATCACCTCCTGCTTGCTGGTGGTTTCAGGGCCACCTTGGGGGGGACCCCTCGCTGCAACAAGGAGAGGGTGTTGGTGGGCACCAGGTACCCAGGGATGAAATGGGAGGGGCACGAGGTGCGGCTCACCTGGGGCAGGGCTGGGATGGCACATGGCTGGAATGAGAGTGCCAGGGGTTTGGCAGGTGGAGCTGGCGGCGGCTGTTCTCTTGCTGCCATATTGCAAGGCTGGTAGGGGTGGCAAGGGGTGAGAGAAGTGAGGTGGCTGCCCATGTGGCATCAGCCACAACTTGCTCCCAGCACCAGCACCTCGAGACAGGTGGCAGCTACCTGCTTGGTTTTCAGAGCTGGCAAAGGCTTGGTGGGTGGCTTTGGCTTCTCCTGAGGGCCAGAGAAGAAAGGCTTAAGTCCCTCATCCACATACCAGGGAGGGACCTGAGCATGGGACAGTGGTCTGGCTTTGGGGCAGAGGAACAGTCCTGCACTGGGAGGCAAGACACCACTACCCCACAAGACAAGGACATCACGTCCAAGGCATGAGATCTCTCAGGCTGAAAGGCCGCCCCACTGGAAATCCCACTCCCACCCTGGGGCCCCACACCATGCTCCTACCTGCAGGAGCGGGCAGCTGGGCACAAGGGACCGGGCATCGCGTGGGGCTGCCGTAGTACTGAGCAGCCTAGGGCTGCCGATGGCACAGCGGGACAGCTGGTGTGGCCGGGTGCCTTCCTGAAAGAGCGGGTTGGTGAGGCCGGTGGCAGGTCTGTTGGAGATCCTCCTGTGGGACAAAGGGCCAACATGCAACAGCATTGCCCTCAGCTCAGCTTGCACAGTCATGTCTTCACTCCCTCGTAGCGCCCCTTACCCTTTCTGGAAGTACTTCTTCCCCTTGCCTCTGAGCAGCAAAATGCCTCCACCAATCAGGATACTGGACAGCACCAGCACAGCCAGCACGGCTGCCAGGACCGTGCTGCTGGCACCTGCAGAGAGCCGGTCGGCATTCGGATGGGCTCTCCTGTTCTAGGAATGCCCAGTGGGACCCTGATGCCACATCTCAGCACAAGACACTCTACCTGACGTGAGCTCCAAAACTTTGTGCTGGCAGTACGGTGGTGCCCACCCCAGCTCACAGTGGCACTCCCGTTTGTGATTGCACACCTGAAGGCACAGAGGGCAGTCTGGGCATGATGGGAGCCATTTTGCACCAAGGGGTCAGGAGGAGCCCTGCTAACATCAGCTGCAAGCAGGCACAACTTACCCCATGGCCACTGCACTTAGCTGAGCAGTTCTTCTTGCCATAGACCAGGAGGTTCTGGCAGCGCCCAGCATAGCAGACCTGTGAGTGGGTGAGGGGCTATAAGTGTGGGCCTGTGGCTGGGAGCCATCCCCCACCCCCTCAGTGCATCCCTTCAGGGCTCACCATCTCCTCCCCACACTTGGTGCCAGTGGGCACCAGCTGGAGGCTGCCTGTCATCTCATTGGCATCATCACTATCAAGGGCTGCTTTACACTTGAAGCGGCCAAATGAGAGTGTGAAGAAGCCGCTGCCAAGGGCGGGGCTGCTGGTGTCACTCATGCATAGCAGCGTACCACACTTCACATCCCTGTGAGCAGAGCAGTGTCAGTCCTGTGGAACCTTGGTCAGCCCCAGGGCCAGTGATGGAAACAAGAACAGCCACCCTGCTCCTTACTTGGGGCTGCAGGGCCTCCTCCCAGACTTGGTCATGCAGTGGAGGTTGCGATCCTGCCTGCTGTTGTGCTTGAAGCATTCATCAGGAGCCACCTGAGCCGCTGCAGGAGGCACAGAGCAAGAGGGTCACATGGAGCCAGAGCTGCCAGCAAGCCAATGGCAGTCCCCATGCCAGGTCCTGCCTGGCCCTGGCCCTTCCCAAAGTCGCCACACCACCTCCATGGATGTGGCACAGTGCAGAGTTGCAGCACATGGGGTGAGGATGCGGTGCTACCTGCGCCCCAGAGCAGGCGGCACTGCTCTGCATGCGAGGGGCAGGCCCCATTGTAGCAGTAGCCGCGGCTACCCTGGCAGGGGATGCCATTCTCCTGGAAGACGTCCTCTGGACACTCGGAGCTGAGGCCGGTGCAGTGCTCGGGAAGGTCGCAGTCATTTTTGCTGGCCCGGCACAGAACACCAGCAGCTTTCACCTGCACAGAAAGTGGGACTGTCATCTCTCACCTGAGATGCTGACTGTCTGCACAGCCAGCGCAGTGACAGAAAGCAACACTTTTCCCCCAGAATTGCTGGGTTTGGACAGGCAGCAGTCCTCAGTCTCTCCTGGCACACCAGAAAGGCCCCAGGGCGCCATGAGGCCCCGTGTAGTACCTTGCAGTCCTGGCAGCAGTCACCTCGCGCACATTCAGCCCCCTCTCTCAGCTGGCACGTGGTGGCATTGCAACACCGGTCAGAGCACTCCTGTGAGGCACACAGGGAGACAGAGATGGGCATGGCCCTCTCAGCCTCCCTGCCCTCCCCCGGGCAGTCAAAAATCTCACTCCACCTCAGCAAGCCTGGGTCTGGTGATACATCAGCACCGTGGGCCTGGGCCCCTGCAGGCCCAGCTCTGGAGACTTAAATGAGCCCTTGCATGAAGTGATTTTGATGAAGGAACCACCCTGGAGCCTATTTCCTGCCTACTATAGGCCAGGTCTTGAGAAGATGAAGCCAAAAGGGCTTGATTTTGAGCTGACACAGCCAAGCAGGCTCCAAAGAGGAGCTGCATGGAGCCTGCATTGGTGGGACCACAGAGAGCTGACATGTCTCTCTTTTGTTTCACCTGCAAGATCCAGAGGGAAAACCCCACTGCCACAAATACATGCTGCAGAGAAATAAAGCCTTCCCAAACATCCCCTGAAAGACCCTCTCCTTCATTTCAGGGAGCTGCCATGTCAGCATGTGCTGAGGGCAGGATAGCCACCACAGGCACGAAATGGTTCCAAGTCAAACCACAAGGCAAATGCAGAGCATTGCTCTGATCCAAAATCCAGCAGCATCACCTCACTGCCTGTCTGGGGACCCATCAGGGACACAAACATCTTCTGTATGGATCACTGCCTTCCCCCAATTCAGGATGTGCAGATATGTGGGTCACATCTCCTTCTTTGGGATGTCCCAAAACCGTGCAAAATGGGGCACACATCTACATTAACAAACACCTTCCTCAAGTTATTCTTCAGCACAAATATAAGGAGCACAGGAAAGGTGAGTCAGGAAGCCTTGCAAAGCGCAGTGGCAGGGAAGAAACAAGCACCACCCTCCCCAAGTCTGAGCGATAGTGTCTCAGATCCCTCTGAGCTCCCAGACTGTACCTCTGGCCTGCCGCAGTCACACTCCTCTCCCCGCTCTACAAACTGGTTCCCGCACACTGGCTCCCCATACAGCTCGTCTGCTCCAGGGACATTCAGCAAGCAGCCAGTCTTGGGATCTTCAAGGAACTGCCACATGTCCTGCTCACTGCAGGTGCTGAAGAGTCTGGGGTAAGCCAAGCTGGAGGGGCACAAAACCAGGCAGTCATGAGAAGAGCTGGGTGACCAATGGCCCAGACTGCAGCTGAAGAACCCTTAGCAGATGCATATCTAGCTTCAAAGTCAGAGATAGAAATGGTGAGTATTCCTTCAGACCTGACCATCCCACGAGCTTCACTTCAGCTCTCATCAACGCAGTGCTGGAGAATATCTGGAAATACTGCAACCCAGGGCTGCTCTTTACTCTTTTTTCACACTTTCTCCTTCACTCACCTGATCTTTGCCGCCATAACACATCCTCCACGTTCTTTGCTGACAGGACAGTGGCAGTCAGCAATGTCTTCGTCATGAGACATTCCCAGGTTGTGCCCCATCTCGTGAGCCATGGTAGACGCAGCACCAATAGGATCCACGCTGTGGTCCTATGGAAGAAGCAGCCAAACATGGTGCAGATGGCTCCTCTCTTGGGCATCCTGAGGCTTTTTTAGATGTTTTCTGCTGGGCCTTGCTGCTGCCTGCAATTCGTCCCATGCCGAGGGAGAATCATAGAACCATAGAATGGTTTGGGTCGGAAGACACCTTAAAGACCATCTGGTTCCAACCCCTGCCGTGGGCAGGGTCACCTTCCACTAGACAG